ATATAAGTGGCAGAAACCCAAGACAAGCGGTTTTGGCAAAAAAGAGCAGCTCTCTGGCTCATACATCCAGATGGGTGGCCCAAGTGAGCACACTCACTTTACCTTTCACTTCTGATTTCTTTGTGTGTCCATTTCATTCTCTCAACATGGCTAATTCCACATGGCTGCAACTATGCTGCTGGTGGCACCTGACTTACATCTGTCCACTCTGCTGACAAGGAGCCAAGAGACTTCCCTTTCTTTCAAATGTACTTGGGAAGGCTCTGAAGGGCCCTCATTGTAACCAGGAGGCGAGTGCCCTGCTTGCATCAGGGGCGTCCCACCCTCAACAAGATGTCCACAGTGAGGGAGATGAAATTTTGTGAGATGGCACTTCCTACAGAGGCCACAATAATAAGGGACGTTGGGAGGGCTAAGTGTAGAATTCCCCAGAAAAGACAATAGTGCTAGTTTCAGAAGATTGGAAATTGGCTAACCAGGGAAGAGCAGCGGTCCTCTGAAAAACCAGGATTTGAAGCCAAGTCCTCTGACGCTAGAGCCTATGTGTTTAACCCCCACAATATATATATTGCCTTGAAACAATCAAGAAAAAGGAATGGCTCCACTTCCTTGATCTGTTTAATAATAATTATTAAATGAATACTTTCTATATATAAACCTATTCCAGCCCCCATATATATGTACATTTTTAATTAATAGATTTAAAAATTGTATTATTTTGTATCAGGTAGCATTAGTTCACAACTTTTCAAATGTACATTACCATTACCACACCACACTCACCACCATCCGTTGTCCCCCCCATAGTCTGTTGGGCCCCCTGGCACCTGTGCTCCCAAACCCTCCACACACACCCCCCACCCCCCCCCGCTAGCCTCAATTCTACAGTCAGAGTTCTAGGGTCTGTTTGGTTTAGTTTTGCGTGTTCCTTTGTTTTGTTTCTATATAGTTCATATATATTAGTGAATCATTCAGTATTTGTCTTTCTTCTTCTGACTTACTTTGCTTAGAAAAACCCTATCCAGTTCCTTCCATGTTATCACAAATGGCAAGATTTTGTCTTTTTCTCTTTTAGCTGAATCATATATAAATGATTATATATATATATATATATATATATATATATATATATATATATATATAGCACCTTAATTTAGTTATCTGTTTTTGGTCACAATAGGTTGTTTCCATAACTTGCCTACTATAGATAGTGCTGCAATGAACATAGGAGTGCACATATCCCCTTGAATTAGTGCTTTTGCATTCTTTGGGTAGGTCCTTAGGAGTGGAGTTGCTGCATCATATGGCAGATCCTCTTTTTTTTTTTTAATATTTTAAGAATCCTCTGTATTTTTTTCCACAGGAATGAACCAGTCTATATTCCCACCAACAATGTAAGAGAGTTCCTTTTTCTCCACATCCTCACCAACACTACAGTTTTTGATCTTTTTGATATGGGCCATTCTCACAGATGTGAGACGGTATGTCATTGTGGTTTGGTTTGCATTTCCCTGGTGATGAGTGATGATGAACATTTTTTTTTCATGTGCAGTTGCCCATCTGTATGTCTTCTTTGGAGAATAAATAGACTTTTTAAAAATAGTAGTTTCCAGTCTAGAAAAAAGTTGAGGGAAAATACAGAGAGTTTCCATATATTCACTTTCTCCCACCCAGTTTCCTCTATTATTAATATTGTCAATTGGTGTGACACATTTTTTATGATTGATGAGGTGCTATTTATATGCTATTATAAGCTAAATTCCATAGTTCATATTAAAGCTCACTCTGTGTTGTATATTCTATGGGTTTTAACAAATATATAATGACATGTATCCACCTTTACAGTAACATTCTTTATAATATAATTAAAGTATCTTATAGTATATGCTCCATTTATTTCCTCTCCCTTCCCTTCCCCAAATCCTTGACAACCACTGATCTTTTTACTGTTTTTTTAATTATCTTTTATTGTCTCTGTATCTTAGCCTTCCCCAGGCAAATCATACAGTATGTTGCTTTTTCTAATTGATTTCTTTCATTTAGCAATAAACATTTCATATTCCTCTGTATCTTTTCATGGCTTGATGACTCATTTCTTTTTATGGATAAATAATATTCCACTGTATAACTGTACCACCATTTATTTATCCATTCGCTTATTGAAGGACATCTTGGTTGCTTCCAAGTCTTAGCAACAATGAATAAAGCTGCTATAAACAGTTACATGCAGATTTTTCGGGACACGACTCATTTGGATAAATACCAAGGAATGAGATGGTTGAATTATAGGGAAAAACTAGGTCTAGGTTTTTTCTTTCTTTCTTTCTTTCTGACTGGGTACAGTCAGAAGCACAGGAGGGTGAGAGAATTCACCAGAGCCAGAGCAGGGAGCAGAGCAGGCAGAAGGACCGAAATACACTGCTGAGGGGAGCAGCGGGCGGCAGGAGAGGTCTGTGCGCCATGTGGGACCCTCCTCTGGTGGCCGGGGAGCAGCCGGGGATTGAAGTGGCGCTGCTGAGGCTGCGGGCAGGTTCGCAACCCAGCATTCAACCGCTGCGCCACAGGGGAGGCCCTAGGTCTAGGTTTTTAAGAAATTGCAAAAGAGATTTTTAGGATGACTGTAAGAATTTGCATTTCCACCAGCAATGGCTGAGCATTCCTATTGCTCCACAATTTGCCAGCACTTTGGTGACGTTGATGTTTTTATTTTAGCTGTTTAGTGGTGGATAGTGGTATCTATCATTGTTTGTTTTTATATTTACAGTTTCCTAATGGCATGTGCTTATGTTCATTCTTTTATCTTCTTTGATGATGCCTCACTTCAGATTTTTTTCCCATTTAAATGGGTTGTTCATTTTCACATTGATGAGTTTTAAAAGTTCTTTGTTTATTTTGGGTAACAGTACTTCATGATGCATGTGTTTTGCAAAGAATTTCTCCCAGTCTGTAGCTTGTAATTTCATTTTATTTAACAGCAAATTTTTTTAGAGCAGAAGTTTCTAATTTTAGTGAAGTCCAACTTACCAATTTTTTTCTTTTATGGATTATGTTTTTGGCACTGTGTTTTTTTAAAAAAAAATCACCAAACCTTAGATTTGTCTTCTATGTTGTCTTCTAGGAGTATTATCATTTTGCCTTTTACACAGGTCCATGATTCATTTTGAGTTGATTTTTGTGAAAGGTGTATGGTCTGTATTTTGATTCATTCATTTGCACGTGGATGTTGAACTGTTTCAGCACCATTTGTTGAAGAGATTATCCTTTCTCCACCTAGTTGCCTTCGTTCCTTTGTCAAAGTTCAGTTGACTATATTGTGTAGGTCTATTTCTGGGATCTCCAGTCTGTTTATTTTTCTACATATATCACCATCCTCTCTACCCCCCAGCTTTATTTGATGCATATTTTTCATCATCACCCAGAAGTTTGTACTTACCTAGCAGGTAGTAAAATCCTTATTTTGAAGATGAAGAAACTGAGTCTCAGAGAAGACCATTTCTGCAGACCAGCAGCTAGCATGAGCTGGAGTTAGAGTTCAAAACCACATCTATATGACTGATTCTGTTACTTTCAGTGTGGTTATGCTACTTATTGGTGCTAGGCTGGAACTTGGTCTACCTTAACAGACCAATGGCCTAAATTCTAGCATCTCCTTTTCCTCGTGGTCTTTGGAATTTTGGTTCAATTGCTCTTTGATTCTGCCTATCTCTTATAGTCCCACACATGAACCCTAACCTGTCTGAAGTTTAGCTTATTTAAACATTCGGCCAGGTTTTTTCCAGGTTTTTTCCTTAACATTTTGCTGAGACCTTGAGCATAATTATCCTCTATCCTTCCCCCCACCCTCAACTTCCTTTACAATGAATCCTTTTTGCCATGAAATTCCTTGCTTATGGGCCTATGGGCCTTCTCACTGAGGGTCTTGTATTATCTTCTAAATATGAAGCCTGTAGCAATTCCAAGAGTAGCACAACCGGTGGTTGACAAACTCCTATTTCTGACCCATCTGTGGGGTAGGAGGCATGGAAATAATTCAAAGGCCATGGGCAAGTCCTATGTTTTCTGATTTTTCTCCAAGTCAGAAGGAGGCTGGCAGGATTAATCTACAACCTGCTCACCACTCCGATGCCACAGGCTACTGGATCTCTATAGATTGTGCTTCTTGCTTTTGTGTTTTTTGGAGCAGTGACAGCAAAGAGGGAGCTTGCGAGGTGAGCACTGTGGGATTGGGAAATAAACGTTTCTATCATCTCTGGCAGAATAACTGGGAAGCAAATCCGTTTGAATATCCTGGCCCACAGGTGTGTTTGTCCTATTGCCAAAGAACTCAGGTAAATCCAGGATTCTGGGCCCTTGTTGGCAAGGGGCAAGGATAAGTTATTTATGAAGACCAAAGGACAAGCAAAAATAATAATAATAATAAAGGCAGTCAATTCACCGATAAAATGAAGATGTATAATACTTCCATAAAGTGCCTCCCCAATCTTTTATTTTTTGAAAAGGCACCCTGATCGCGAGCTCGGGCCAGTTCGCAGGTCCCGCCGGCCCACCGGCTCACTCGAGCCTGCGGCGCTCGCTTTGGCGCGCGGTTGCGGCTTCAGGGACTAGAGGATGAACAGGGGCGCCGCGCCGAAAGGCGGAGAGAACTGAGGCGCCATAAGACTGCGGGGAAATCCCAGGTTTGGGGCGCGGGAAGATACTGCGCCGCCCACCGCGCCGCCCCAGGGGCCGCGCAGCGCTCCCATTGGCGGTGACGCGCGGGGCCTGGCAGAAGTTGGGGCGGGGGGGCTGGCGCAGGGTCTGGAGCCCGCGGCTGATGAAACCGGGCGCGGGACCCAGGCCGCCCTCTGCGCTGCGTTCAGTCGGCGCCGCCAGGTGTGAGCGGAGGGTCAGCTGCCAGCGGGGCGCGCGGGCCCGTCGTCGTCGGTTAACAGCAGCCGCTCCCATCCCGCGCCCCGCGCGCCCTGCTTCCGGCCGGGCGTCCCCGCGCGCCGGGCCGCGTGCGTCGGGCCACTCGCGGTCTCGTCCGCATCCCGCTGCCCGCTGCCTCGGTGAGTGCTCGGCCCCCGCCCATGCCGGTACCTCGCCCGGGTCGGGTCACCTTGGAGACGCCCCCGGCGCCGCGATGGGCTGCGGGAGGACGGTGCGGGGAGGGGCGAGGGTCCCCTGCCAGGGGCACGGGCATCCTCTGGGGTGAGCGAGATCCGCGCCGATCCGGGGGTGTGAGCGCGGGGCCGGTGCACATGTGGCTCTGTCTACGGGAGTCCATTTTGGTTGCCTGAGGCGCAGCGTGGTGCATGATGCAACACCGAGTGAGTAAGCGTGGGCGACCTGGAGCCAGGGGGATGCCGGCCCAGAGCACCTTGCCAGCGGCCCGGGCGCCGGGCGCACGGGGTGGTCGAGCTGGGCCGGGAGGCAGACGCAGGGGCAGGCCTAGGAGGCATCCGGAGCCTTCCCTTACATGGCGCGGGGCTGGGCCCCGCCACGAGGTCCGCGTTGTGACAGAGACCGCGGCCCTGGGCGTAGTTCCGCAGCAGGTGGCAGGCACAGGCCGTGTGGTGCGCCCCGACCCGCCGGCCTTGGCGCCCACCTCGGCTTCCCTAGATCCCGGGATGCGCCCTGGGCGGACCGCACCTCCTGTCCTCAGGATTGTTTCGGGTTAGTTTCCTCCGGGTGGGCTTCCTTGTGACCTAATTTGGCCTGAAAAAGCAGATTGCTTCAAGCTTCCCAGATGGCTTGGAGCAGGAGGAATTTCTTCCGGCTTAATAAAGACAACTTACTTTCCGCGTGGTCCTTTCTTCTAGATGACAACTTCCCAGGCCGGACGGGTCAGGCGAGTCATTCTGGCACCTGTGTGTACACAGAGCTGCTGTGTGTAGTACTACCAGAGTGAGTTGTTTTTGTTTTAGCTCCTTTCCGTTTTCATTGTGAATGGGAGCCAGAGAGAGTTGATTTTGACACATCTGGTTAGGATAGCCAGGCATGGGTCTTCTGGAACTCTACCTTTTCCAACATTCCAGGTCAGGCACTCCTGTGTAGGAGTAACCAGGAGGTGGTTTTTATTCTATTTAGTTACAAGAGTAGAGGGTTGGGATTTCAGTCCAGGGGTATTGCTTTAAAATTTGAGCAGCAGAGACCTGTATATATGTTCGCCTCTGGCTGAGTTTGCTAATTGTGTTTAATTTGAATTATAGTTTATTTGTGATTTAACATTCTTATCCTTTATGTTTGGTTCAGATAATAGAAACCCATGATACATTTATTCCCCTGACAATTTTAGTTGGTCTCAGTGGAAATTATCATTATTTTTATATGAGCACACCCTTCTGTCATTGAAACAAAAGGTCTATTTAAACCATATAGTCGGGATAGAAATGTAGTCTACAAAGGATTAAAATAGTTTTTAATAGTTTGGCATCATTAATCATAGATAAAATGTAGAAAATGTCAAAGGAGTTTTGACTAAACCAACAGAGATCAGAAATGTACTTAGTTTGAATCTATTTGAATCACATGGGTGCTTTTGCGCATATAATTATTTGCTATAGAGGAAAAAAGGACTTGACAAGATTGCTGACCTCGGGTCGCTTGAATTCTAAGAAAGGTGTTCCTTACATTTGGTAGAAAATTCCATTCTTTGATGGAATTAAATACATATATTATTGATCTAATCTGTAGTTGCTTTTTATTAAGACCAGTAAAAATAAGTAATTATGTTGGAGGATCCAGAATTATGTTGAACAGAGTTAATTAATCTCTTTTCATTATTAACATGTATTCAGAGGTATTGGTTTATTAGTCCTAGAGAGGAATTTGAAACAGGAATAAGTGCTTCTTGTTATGGACACAAACATTTTTCTCTAACCCTGGAGTTGTTTGGGTCACAGGTGTCTGACCACTTTCATGCCTCCCAATGTGATTGACTCCAGGTATTCCCTGAGGATGGGACCCTAGTGTTCAGCTGCAGGATGGGCCTCTTCAGACCTGGGGCTCTCTGCCACTGTCCAGTTCCACTTGAGGGCAGATCTCATAGACCTTGAGGACTTAGCATTTACTTTGGGTGAGGTGGAGACAATAATCATTGGACAGTTATTTTCCTAAGTAGAGAAGAGGTGAGGGGGTCTGGGGGAGGGCTCACATTTCAAGATTTATAACTAAGTATGAAATAAAACCCAACCCCAAGTTATTTCTACATGCTAGTGACATAGGTAATTCTGGGGCAACTTGGATGGGGTGCCAATGGTTGAAATGTGAGGTGGTTGAATTCTCCATCCGTAGGCTTATGTAATTGTTCTAACTGTACATTTTAACAGTAGACCCAACAGGGCCTCCCTGGTGGCGCAGGGGGTTGAGCATAATGCTCTGAGGCTGGCAAGAGTTGGATCCCTGGCCAGCTGGGGAGCAACCGACATGGCGCGGCGGACCTCTCCTGTCTCTCCCGCTGTTCCACTCAGCAGTGTGTTTCGGTACCTATGCCTGTTCTGCTCCCCACTCTCTGGTGAATCTTCTCACCCACCGCGACTGTTGCCTGTACCCCATTTCTTAAAAAAAAAAAAGTAGACCCAACGGGATTGGCCAGTGGATTGCATGCGGGGTATAACAAGAGGGGATATGATTCTAAGAAGAATGGAATTTTGACATTAAAGAGATGGAGGAAGGCTGAGGAAACAGCATATGGGTAATGACTTTTAAAAGTCACAGCTGACGTTTCTAGACTCTTCCCTCAAAGGACAGGACCCAGCTCGGTCTCTCCTATCCCGTCAGCTAGCTTTCTTGCATTCTCACTCCTAATCAGGGTATCTCTTCGTGCCTGTGGCCTCCCTGTGTTCTTGTCACCCCTCCTGTGGGGAGCTTGGTCTGGATTGTCCTGTTGCTGGGGTGAAGACTTACCTATCCCTTGAGGTCCTAGAGTCATGGGTGTACCTGCTTTTTCATTCCTGGGCCTTCAGGACACCTTGTTATCCAGGGGTTTCTCGGACCTTAGGCTGTTGGCGTTGGATCCCTGGCCAAGGTTCTATTCACTCCAAGGTTTGAGATTTCTTCCAGCCAAAGAATAGAGTGGCAGCTCCTTTCATGGAAGATTATCAGCCTTGTGGTAAACTTTAGGGGCTTCTCTTTCTACATAATTGCTTCCCCGATACTCCTCAATTCCAAAGCAGCTTTGGAAATAATTTCCTTTTTCAGTTGTTCAAAGTGAATCATAATTTGCCATGGGGTGTTTAGTGCCCTCTGTGAGTCTGTTAGGAGGATGGGCAACAGATTGGCAGACTGATCTGATGGGCTGCTAAATAAGTTTATTATACTCCGGAGACATGCCTTCTGATTGGTGTCACTGGCAGAGCTGTGGCTGAAGCTTACCTGTGGGTTGGATCCATCCATTCCCAGAACATAGACCCCAGAAAAGATATTTCTGGACATTGAAATAGTTCTGACATAAGGCTTACCCACCCGACCAGCGCCGCCCCCCCCCACCCCCCATGTCTTTCATTTTCATTTGATTTTGCCTTCCATTTTGTTGTTAGCAGTGGGGACTGCCAGATGGCACATTTGGTGGCAAACTGCACATATGAGTTGGAGCTATGTGGTAAGGAAAGAGGCCTTGCCAGCTTCAGTGCCTTGAGAGGCTTTGCTCTAAAAGAAGGATGCTCTTTTGGGGGAGGGGTCAGATTGAACTAGTGCTTGGGCCAGGCCACCTGCGGCTGCTGGAGTCTGCTCCCCTGTGTGTGGCCTCCAGAGTCACTTAGGCTTTCTTTGCTGGACCTTGTAGACTGGCTCTTTGTCGATGGGGACGCCTTCTTTCTTAGCCTCATAACAGTAAAGCTAATAAACATGAAGTTCATGGTGTTCTTTGAAAGAATTAAGGTAACAAGTCAATAAATTTGAATTTCTTTCTTGAAGTAAGTCCTTTTTGTTGCCTGCCTAATATTCTGATAATAGCAACCAGAAATCAAACTCAGGGCCACCATAAAGATTGTTGTGAGTGTATTTATATGGAGGCAGGAGACAGCATGCCCCTTCCCTTGGGAAGACTGTTACAACACTGTCTCTTCCTTGTTCTTGGGTGACTCGCCACCTCTTCCCCCTCCCTTTTCTGGAGGCACAGAGGGCATGGTGAGTTTATTTTCTAAACACTGTGTTCCTATTATAGTACTTTCTTCAGAATATTTGGTCATGTTCTTGACTGAGGACAACCACATACTGACCTTCACTGTCCCTGTGTGCTTCATGCAGTGTCCCGCCCTCCTGGCTCTGGACAGCAGGGTCGCAGCTTCTGTCCACACGGCTCCTGAGCTCCTCACGGGCCATGCAATGTGGGGTCAGAGGAGCTGCGTGGGCTCCACTGATAGGCTAAGTGCCCTCTTTTGGTGTTCCTCAGAGCCACCTTTAAATCTGGTTTCAGAAATGGACTTTCCATATTATTTGCATACTACTTGGATTTTAGTGTCTCCCTTATAGGATTGAGGAGACTTAAATGAGGCACTCCCACTTACCACAGCTTCTAACACACTCACACACTAAGGGGCTTAATGTGAGTGTTAACTATCGCTGAAATAACAACTTAGTTCTTTGATTTAGGTGTGGAGACACAAATTTTTTGCATTAACTTTATTTTACTACCCGGTTTTGCCAAGGTGTGAAAATGTAGTCCTACTTCCTTGGAATTATGTCCGCATAGCAGGGGGCAGATGTAGTGCCATGCTGTTGGGGGGACATTGGGCCTCTGAGGAATCTGCTGACTTGGGTCAGTGACCTGTGGATGTCACCTTAGTTCCTGTTCCATTGTCCCCTATGCACCTGGAGGGCTCTCTACTACTGTCCTTTCACAGTTGGGGGTCCGGGGCATGAAGGGAGGACCCCCTGTCTCTGGGGCTGTGCTGGCTCTTACTGTCCAGATCACTTTGAAACCCTGCAGTCTTAGGGATCCAGCTGCCTCACTGTGCTGGGAGCATTTTCCTTTAGTTCTCAGATCCACGCTTCACCTTGTCAGTAGGTTCTTGGAAACTTTAAGTGACGCGACTTACAAAGAAAGCAGGTCCTCAAGAGACTTTATTTTGTTCAGTGGATTTCTTTTTTCTCATCAATTATATGATAAAACCCTGTTGAATGAAACTGTTCAAGGAACTGCTGTATTGTTTTCCTATCTATGAAGACTCTTGAGTTGTTCTCTTAAGGTCATCTTGGAAATGTGCTTTTTCTCTGTATCTTCTTATCTGCCTGCCAAATAGGAAGGCCCTGGGGCTGGGTGAGATCGGGAAACACACACACTATGTCCTTTGCACTCCGTATGTTTTCACGTGTTCTTCAAACCACCCAGTGGGTTGGCACTACTATTTTGACTGCCGGCAAGTAAAAGCTCTGAGAAGTGACCTGAATTGATCAAAGGGCACACAGGTAGTTGTAGTAACTGACAGAGCTAAGACTTAAACCTGAGGGAGCCTGCCAGAGTCCTAACCGCCAAGTGTGTTCAGGGGTGGGGCACCAGCCTCTTTTGGGGCCCAGTTTAGGGATGCCATGTGCACAGGGCAGCATCAGGCTGAGATTTCAGTACACAGAACCTGAGACACTCGGTCCGCTCCTTGTTTCTGAGTAAGTCCTGGATGTGCAGGAGTAGATTGCTCCACCGCTGGTCGCTGGTCAGCACCCTGTTTTTTCTCCATTTGCCTGATTGCTCTCCATGCTTTGAAATGCAGACCTTTCCACTCTAAGCCCAGCAGCAGAGCCCCAGCTCCCTGCACAGCTAGAACTCTGGATAGCTGTGCTGGGAAGTGGCCAGAGCTTGGAGTTGGCCTCTGTGACTGAGGCTGGACTGCATTCTTTCTGTCTGGGTCAGTACTTTGCATTCATATCACCAGAGCCACTGCACACAGAACTTCCTCCAGGCCACAGGGAGCCCTGTTTCATTTATCTAATTCCAGTGATCTCCGCTCGGGGATAACCCTTTGCAGGGGGTCTTGTGGGAACTGGACGTTGTAGAAAAAGTTGGCTTCCTTCTTGGCATTCTATTCTTCTTAGGACCAGGCGCAGTAGTGGCTCTGTCCCAGATCTGGACTTCTCTGATTTCTGTTAATGTGGTGGGGAAGCATCTTCTTCCTTGGAAAATGCTCTCAGAAAACCTGGGTTAGGTGCTGCCCCGGCCAGGGAAACTCCGTCAGGGCCCTTGTATCCTGGAGAGATTCCGTGGCATGCAGGGACTTGGGGGGCCGCGCGCCGTGTGGGTGGCAGGTACTGGCCAGGTACCTGGTACCAGTAGAGTAGTGAAGCTGCACTATTTCTTTCTATCATCCTCATTTTTCCTTTCCTCTTTCAACATCTTGTGGTTAACATTTTAAAGATTTATTTATTTATTTATTTATTTATTTATAGAAGCACGGGAGGGTGAGAGAATTCACCAGAGCCAGAGCGGGGAGCAGAGCAGGCAGAATGACGAAATACACTGCTGAGGGGAGCAGCGGGCGGCAGGAGAGGCCTGCGCGCCATGTGGGACTCTCCCCCCAGCGCTGGGGATCGAAAAGGCGCTGCAGAGGCTGCGGGCAGCTTTGCAACCTAGCGCTCAACACTGCGCCACCGAGGAGGCCCTTGTGGTTAACATGTTACACCTAAAGTTACAGAGGGACAAGGAACTCCTTTTCCCAACTTGACCAGTTGTTTCTATTTGTTCCTTTTGTTTTGTCCATCCATTGATCTGTCTCTATGCATGCCCGTATATATTTTTTTCTAAGCCACTGAGAATAGTTGAAGACATCACACCCTTTATTTACCCTTACAAAACTTGAGTGTGCATTTTCTAAGAAAAAGGATGTTCTGTTACGTACCCAGACGCGATGGCAAAATCAGGAAATTTAACAGTGATACACATTGTTATCAAGGCTGTGGGTCTTGTTCAACCTTCACTTTGTCCAAGTGATACCCCTTTCAGCTGCATGTCTGTTGGAGTCTTTCAAAGGAAAATTATGATCTAATTTTCTATCTCCTAAGCTTCTTTTAAGAAAAAAAAAAGGCTCTGAAAAAGAAAAAAAATCATTCTAAAAGTTAGAATGCTCATTGTGAAAAATTTGGAAACTACAGAAAACTAAAAGAAAAAAATTAAAATGTTACGTAACTGCAGCACAAAGTTTTAGTGTTCAGCCAGGCGAAGGGCTTTGGAGAAAGGTGGTTGGAAAGACTTCTTCAGCTCGGGGTGATCATGGGCTGTGGGGAGGAGCAGACTCCCGGTCATGCCCTTGCCCAGGATTTGGGCAGTTGCCCACCTGATCAGGCAAACTTAACCACCTCAGGGTGGGCTAGGGTGGGGACCCAGAACTTGTGTAAGACTTGGAAAGCAATGTTGCAGGTTCTCTCACGCCTGCTGTCTACCCCAGGCTTCCTACACGTCGCTGAGATCAGGGGTGGGTGCGGGGGCTCTTGTTGAATATTTCCTGGTTATTTAATTTTGTTGTTAAACTTGCCTTTTGTTAAACCGTTAGACTCCCTGCTCTAGGTCAGTGAGGAAATAAGAGGAGAAATTATAAATTGTGTGTTTTTTTTTTTAATTGTGAATTTTGTTCTTCGTTAGCTACTGCGCTGCTCAGAAATTGCTAGGGGATGGTCTCAAGACTGTTGTATGAAGTTTGGATCTTGCACCTGCATTTTTTCGAGATGGTCTCCTTCATCGGGACCAGCAATAATTGAAAGGGGCTCTACTTTTTTCCAGCCTGGAAGGGGTGCTTGCTGAGTGACTCTTATTTGGGGAATGATTTTGTTTTTAGGACCTACAGTTGCTGAAACAACTCATTTGTACCTCAGTTTCTCTAAGCTGTATATATGTATATGTATATATATACCTACATTGTGTGTGAAAAAGAGCCTCTGAAGGTCATGATCAAAAGCCTCAAGTATTTTTCCATGTTTGTTTTTTCTTCTCCTGCCGCAGACCCTCTCCTTGAAGGAGCTGGCCTTGAGAGTGACTGTGGTGGGCAGCCGCCCAGACCGCGCACCCCCGCTGAGGCCACATAACTTCTAACCTGGATGGGCCAGGACTGGAGGGCTGCTCTTCAAAGGAACCCTTTGAAGTGCAAACATTTCCTTTCCTGAAAAGAAGGGAAATGGAAATGAAAACGTATTGTTCTGTGTAGACAATGTTCTTTTGGATCAAAGAGGGAGTGGGACTTATAAAGGGAGAGTCACAAATGAGACCTTAATGTGGCAGGTGAAGGTGTGACTATGTTGATGTCCACTACCCGGGGGTGTCCAGGATCTGTTATTGGTAAGATTGCATCTTCCTCCTTTGCCCCCTTAAATTGCTAAATCTGTGTCTACTATATGATATCTAACACATTATATTTAACTGTGTTTGGCTTCCCTTTTCTGTTTTGTGGTAAGCAATTAGAAAGATCTTTTGGGAAATCATAACTCCATCCACCATAGGACATGTGATCATATGGGGAAAACTTTACTGTTAAAATTGAAAAACTGGGGCCTCCCCTGGTGGCGCAGGTGGTTGAGCGCCACACTGTGAAGCTGTCCGCAGCCTCTGCAGCGCCAGTTCGATCCCAGCCAGCCAGCGAGGGGCCCGCACATCGTGGCAGACCTCTCCTGTCTCGCCCGCTGCTCCCCTCAGCAGTGTATTTCGTCACTCTGTCTGTTCTGTTCCCCGCTCTGTCTCTGGTGAATCCTCTCACCCTCCCACGCATCTGGCCTGTACCCCGGTTCTTGTGTAAATGAATAAATAAATCTTTAAAAAAAAAAAACCTGAAAACCTGTATGCAGCTTTGATATTCAGTGTTACTCGAATGAAATATCTGTATTTGCACAGAAAGAAAACACTGAAAACTGCACATTGTTTCCTTTATTGCTGTATTTGCAGCACCAGAGTGAAGAGTAAATATTTTGTTGAATGAATGTTTTTATAATTAGTAAAAGAATATTTTAAAGGAGGGATGTCATTGTCCTGAATATAACATTTTGGCAGGTGGAAAGAACAATATGTTATTTATTGTTCTTTGTGGCATTTTTAACTTGGAGTTTCTTTTGCACTTTGATACAAACGTGTCATATTTTGTACTTTGGTACAAATGATACCATGAACTAGTGACTTTGCCATTTCTAATTTTGGAGTAATCTGGTCTTGTTAAAATTAGTATTAGGATATTAAGAAGTTTTTCCCAAGTTGATTATTCACAGATGGAGTAAAATCACAATGACTTACATGCTCTGTAGCTCATGTACCATTGGAACAATCTGTCCTGAGAGGTTTTGCCTGATTTGCACAGGATATCTCATCTTTGGGCATCCATACCACCAAGACATACTGACTGGGCTGTACATCTTCCTGATTTTAGTTTACAAAGTTCTTTGAAAACACAGCATCTCAGTCTTACCTGCCCTATAAGCTGGTATTGTGACATTGTGGAGAAAGAATGAATTTTACAGCCACCTTTACTTCTCCCTGGTGGTATCATTTCTTTCTTATTTCAGAAGGCTGCAGACACTTAGGTTTCAAAAACGGATAGGCAGCCTCTTCGCTGTGCTGTCTGCACAGGACCCTGGAAGCTCCCTCCTTGGGAGAGCTTTCTTCGGACATGTGTGGAGTAGGGTTACTGGTGTCCACATGCTAACTCTCCCAAGGGGGGCAGGGGCTCTCAGATGTCTTTGGCTGCAGTCTATAATGAGAAATAAATTTACACTGTGATCAGATACACACTGGGCATATTTATTGTATTTATACATATGTCACCTCACTTTAAAGTTCGCTGGACTAAGAGATGGGGTAATTCTTTGTCTAAACAGGTTTGGACACAGGCAGTGAGGGATGAGCAGGTAGAGGTTTCTTTTTGTGGTGATTTGAAGGTTTCTGACTGAAATGAACATTTGTGATATTCCCACAGTGGCAGATAAGGAGTATAAGGTAAGGCCTGTGTGTGTGCTTCTGGTATGGCTTGTTGCTTATGCAAACTGGGGTAGGACTGTCCTCAGCTGACCTCACACACTGGTATTTTGAAGGTGGCCTGACCAGTCTGTGTGTGTTTTTTTCAGAGATGGTCCACACATTTGTTAACTTTAATGCTTGGACTTTTAAAAAATTTTATTTTGCTTGTGTGATGTGAGGAAGAACCTACCTGAAAGATGATGTGCTTTCTTTTTTCAGAATTTGTGGGAAGAGGGAGAAAAGATACTCTTAGAGAAATATTTTTGGACTTCCAAGTCTGATGGATTAAAATTCAACAGAATACTGAAAATATAGAATTAGCAATAGCAGTCATACCATTAAATTGTCCTCTTTGAGGAGGTTGAATGGATTTTACATACATTTAAACCTTGCTTGATTAGTGTTTGAATTTTTTGGGGGGCTTAGAAAATAAGTATTCTCCAACAAATCAGTGTATATAATTAAATCAAAGGAATTGACCCTACCAAACAAGAACTTAATGGCATAACAGAACTTGAACAACATAAATTGCCTAGTTTATTGAAACTGTACAGATATGTCTTCATTTTTACATACTACTTTTATTTGCTATGCTTCTCAATAAAAAAATTATTGTAAGAATTCAGAGTACTTTAAGTCCTTTAAAAATTCATCTGTAAGTGACAAATATTACCAGTTGTTAGTACTTTGGAGTACTACTCATGAACTTGATTTTATGCTGTTGTATCTGTTGATATTACGTGAAATAGGAGATACTCTGTATAAATCTGTAACCTTGATTTTTTTTTAACAATTGCTTTTTTGTTTTTAACTTTTGCTGGAAGAGAGTCCTTTTCCATTTGCTTTCTCCTGAGAGTGAGCCCGACAATTCCAGCATCAAGAGGAGGTGTGGGGCAGAACATTCATTAATCTGTATTGAACTGGAAAGAACATACTGCTAGTCTCAGAGTTGGATACAGCAGAATTTTGGAAAATTTTCAGATGTAATTTGCATTAGAATTCAGGCCTAGTTACTGAAAAGACTCAGGTCTACACTCTGGTGAATCAAGGTGAGGACATTGTCCCTTTAGATACCTCGGGAGGCTGGGAAGGGGGTGTATGACTGGGAGGAGAGCACACGCACACACATTCGTGGCACTTGCCTGTTTGCTCTGGCTGCCTGTTAGCTGTCCTATTGAGGATCTGCAGGGGAGAATCATCCTAGAGGCTACCTTCTGTGTTGGTGGTAGATATGAGCTTCTTCATAAGGGCTGCGATTCTGCCCTCGCTCCCCTAGGTCCTAGCAGAGGGTCTCTCCCCAGCGAATGTGACTGTGTCTAGGGAGGAAATAACCATCTTGCCCTGGAGGATGGAGGGAGGGAAGTGATCCCTCTGCACTGATGCTTTGTGGGAGCAGCTAGCACTGCCTGAACTTCAGATGGGGAATGACTTCAGTGGCTCTTCTCCCTTCTGCTACAATTGCCCTTGAAGCCCATGCGGCTCCATGGCCTTGAGCTAAAGGTCTGGCTCACTTTATTATGCATGAGGGCTTGGGCTTGGACTCATTTAAAATTCTGTGGCCTGAGGACCATATCCCTCTTGGATCTTGAGCTCACTGAAAGCCTACACCTACAGAGGCAAACTGTACACTAATAAAAATGTAAACCTAGGGATGAGACTTTTCTGGAAATGTAGCACACAAAACAGGAAACATCATATTATATTGTGCCCGTTGGGTGAATTTTGTGGTAAGTGTGTTTGTTATAAAAGACATAGGTAGTGTTGGGGGAAGGGACAGGCAACCCGTTTTATATCGTGGCTGCCCTGTAACAGTAGGTATACACAGGGATTAGACAGAGGTGGCAATAGGGGTAGGCTTTTAGGAGAGAGAAAAAGACATTTCAGTGAATGAATATATGTTAAATAATTTGTGTAATGTAATAGTGACTTTCATGTCCTCAAGTCAAATTTCATGTCTTTAAACTCTCTAGATCAGGGTGTATATAGAAACTTTGTCCTGGCGGCATCTCACTGAAATAAGATAATGATTCAGTGGATCTGGGCTAGGCTCCTGAGATCTCTAAAACAGCAGAAACCTGAAACTGCTCAAGGGAGCCCTGAGCTGCCCAGTCTTGTGGCTCCTGCACCAGGAGAAGTACCTGGTAGTGACTTGATGCCCAGCCAGTATTTTTTCAGCAGAAATGAGGCAATTGCTGTCCCCAAACCCATTTACTTTAGGGCGTAGTGGTCCATTCGTGTATTCACTTCAGATTAGCCTGGTTATCTATTTGCAGCCAGCTACAGAGTGTTGAGTTAGAGTGCAGAGGTGGGGCGCCTAACAGTGGGGAGAAGTGATAGCTGAGGCCCTGGCAGCGAGAGAGGGCCGGAACAGCAATAGAGATGCTACAGCTAAAGAACCACTGAGGTTTGGGACAGTTTAGCAGAGGGTGGCTAGTATCCCCCCTCATTTCAGGAGGTCTGTGTACCTGACCAGCTGCAACTCTGTGCCTCAGTTACCCCATTTGAAAAATGGGGAAAGTGACAGTCCGCTTTGTAGGTTGTGTTGAAGATTAAACATATGAAATGCATTTAGGACATTGCATGGTGTTCAGTAAATGTGAACTCTAATTAGGATTGGTGTATAAAGAGTTAAGCTTTATCCTTGAGTGCGCTTTCTGCCAATTAAAAATTCCATTCCCAAGGTTGCACGCACATGAGTTGTTAGTTTACTGGTGAAGGAGTAGGTGTAAATGAACATGCAAAGTGACTCCTCTGAAGGGCCAGGAGTGGTGAAATGAGCTAAATAAAGGTTGCTACTTGTTCTCGCTAGTCAGGAAATTTTTAATGGAAGAGGCAGTTGTCAGGGGCTTTGTAATTAGTGGGGGTGGGAAGAATTTCTTGGTGCCAGAGCTGGGCTAGGATGTGAGGTTCCAGGGGTTCCTGCTTGAAAGAACTGAAACCAGTAAAACAGCAGGTGAGGAAATTGAGACACAGTTTAAGGTGTGAAAAATGCCTGTACAGGTCTTGGTTTGTGCCATCTAGTGCAGGGTGTGCTCCTTAGGTGTGTTTGTGGGTCATCCTAGCATGGCAAGTGGGTAGCTATTAGAATGGTGGCATTTTATGAATGTGATGGGAAGTCGGATGTGACAAAGGGGAAGGAGGGAAGCAAGCTGCTTAACTCTGCTTCGTAAAAGGTGACTGGAGCCTGTAGTCCTTTGCTTCGTGCTGCCCAGCCACTGACGTCCTCTTTGGGATTCATCATGGCCTCCTCCCCATGTGCCCCCAGGCTTGTCTCGCTGTCGGTTAGACTTGCTTACAAGTCCAGCGAGACCTTCATGCATGCCCCCAGTCTACCTGCGAACTCATGTGATCCTGGGCAAGACTGCGTGCTCAGGGTCTTGCGCTCTGTCTGCTTTTGGGTTTGGAAGGGTTCAAAGTAGGATACTTTTTTTGGGCTTTCTAGCCTCAACATGAAATCTGTGACATTCCATGATTGTGGATCCACTAAAGAACTCTGTAGTTTGGTGTTCAGATTATAAAAGTGGATGTTGGATGGAAGCAGTAGTAATTGGGTGTTGCTGAAACAAAAGGTCAGGTGTTAGGATGATGGCAAAAGTTTTGATAAATGTAACTGATGTTTGCTTCATCTGACTTTGCTCTCATCAGCCCAGACTGTTGTGCAGGTGAGCCTGCGCAACTGGAAGGAGCAGAAAGCTTTTTTTTTTTTTTTTTAAAGCACCTGGTACCAGCATCCATATGGTTCACCAGACTCATTCCCCCCACCCCCTACCAAGTGTCTGTGCTGGTCAAAATAGCACATCTCCTCACTGTGTCTCTGGAAAGAGGCAGTAGTCCTGGACTAAGTGTTCACGGTCTGGTGAAGTGCTGATGGATACTTATCCATAGATAAGAACTTCTAGCAGAGACAGCTGGTCAATGGCATCAGGCCCTGTGCAGCCGAGTCCTGCTGTGCGGGGCGTCTTCTGTGGAGGTTTTGGAATGTTGGGATAGGCCATGAGAAGTGTCAGTTCCAAACTATCTCCCCAGGGAGGAAGCCAGAGAGAGGTTATTTTTCAAAAGGATCAGCCAGCCACACACATCAAAATATATACAGCCCTCATCAAAGCAAAAAGCAAGCGAGCTTGCCTGTTTCCCCTCCACTTGAGTTCAGGACAAAGCACTCCTGCAGCAGCAAAGCCTGGCTGAAGTTGTGCTGTGAGGCCCAGAAAGAGCTGCCCTCTGTTGGAAATGTTTCTTTTGGAAAATCTTCAGGGCCTTGCCTCTGCATCTTCCCCATCTCCTTTGAGAGACATCCTTGTCTTTAGTGGAATAAAGGAAAGATGACTAAAGACATGAGGGTGAAGGGAAGGTGCCTTTCCAGAAGTCTGCCATTCGCATGCAGAGAAAAGAGCAAATGTAACTGATGTTTGCTTCATCTGACTGTGACAGAACCTATGGGGTGGTGGTAGTTTTTTTTTAAATTTATTTATTTATACAAGAACTGGGGTATAGGTCAGAGGCGCGGGAGGGTAAAAGGATTCATCAGAGAGAGTGGGGAGCAGAACAGGCAGATGGACTGAAGACACTGCTGAGGGGAACAGCGGGCGAGACAGGAGACGTCTGCCGCACCATGTGGATTTCTCCCTGGCAGGCCGGGAATCGAACCCTTGCTGCAGAGGCTGTGGACAGCTTCACAGCGCTGCTCTCAACCTGCTGCGCCACCGGGGAGGCCTGGTGGTGGTTATTGAGCGATCACTGTTTTTATTGTTGGTGGATCCTCAGGGTGCATAGAGCACCTGTCTTCTGAGAAGAGAGCACTTCAGAGTGGATGGTCCTAGACTCACATTCTCTCTGCGCCTGTTCTTTCACCAGCATTAACTTCAAGGAACATCCCCCCTCCGCCCGCCCCCATTAAGGGCGTTTTATCCACAGTCCTTTAGATCTGCCTTAGTGGACATGATATGGTCAATGACAAAGCATTCTTACTTAGATGTGTGTGTATAAAAATAACACGCCTTTGTATTGAGCAGTGCACACTCAGCTGTATCACCAAGTTCATGTAAGGTTCAGAGGAGGACAAAGGATGGCAAATAGTCAGGTTTGCAAAAAAAAAAAAAAAGACTCCCATTGTATGGTCGACATTCAGATGTCTTAAATATCTGCTCTCTGGGCAGAAATCCAGTCAGGATTGTGTTACAGAAGAGGGGAAAGTTCTAATTTGGAAGTCCCAAAGAAACCTTCATTTTCATTTGGGATGGAGGAGATTTCACCAGAGGGTTGGGACTGCGTGGCCTGGCACTGCTACCAAGACAAAGATGTGATGAGAGTTTAAAACTACTGCAGGCCACGCTGAGGCTAACCGCAAATTTGTCAGCCTGTTCTGAAGTCAGAACTTGTCTCTTGTCAGGATTTTCAAATGTTTTAAAGTAAATAGAAAGCAAATATTGTTACTTTCTACAATTGGTAACTAACTGACAGAACCAGAGGGAATAGAGGAGGAAAAGCAAGTGACTAGAGAAGAATGTTGTTATGCACACTTGCGAGGTTCAGGGGAGCCGGGGTGTTCAGGGTGATTACGAGTCTTTTGAAAATGCTGTCATGAGACTTACCTCCTCACAAAGCTTGCTTTGTGAGCTTCTCTGGTCAGGACTCTTGGCCAGAGTGGACAAGTTTGAGAGTATTATGCCTTATGTTCTTGGCTCCCCGGATTTGAACTGTGTGGCATTTCAGAGAGGAACAGGACAAGCTTGGTGCCCGGGATGCCCAGCTGAGCCTCTTGTTCTACACTGTGTTGTTCATTGAAAAGTGACTTGCAAGCCAGCTCGGGCACAGCCCTCTCGGCTGGATTAGGAGCCTTTCTCGCTGCCAGATTTTCATCCATCTTGCTCTGTCTTACTTGGGACTTCAGAGGTTCCTTCAGGATCACTACTGCCTGCAGTTCATGCCCCTCGCTTCTCTGGCCACGCAGTGTCCTCTGCAGCCTCTCCACTCCATGAGGTGCTTGTCGCTGGCTCCTGCTTTTGGATCCACTGAGGAAGCCTGTTGAATGAGGTGCCCTGCTCCTGCAAACCCTGACCCAGGGCGTGGGAGCACTGAGTCAGAGCTGGAGTCTAGCCAGTCATTGGCTAGAGCTGTGGAGAAAAGTCTGGGAGGCCTTCAAGACCAGAGTTAGCCTGGAGAGAGGGTGGCCACAGAGCCTAGATGCAGGTAAAGGGAGCCTTCGGCCCTCTTAGACTGTACCCTTTGTTAGCAGTTTGAAGCTCACCAGTTCTTTTTTATTTTTTAAAGACCGTATTATTTATGGAATTTTATTTGAATTATAAAAGTGATCTTGTGTTTCACTACTGATATTTTGTGAAGTTTCATATTGGTGTTTAAATTTAGGTAATTAATAGAAAGGGCAACAATGGAGATAGGCAGCCAGGGCTAGGGTTCCTTGACCGAGAGCTGCCTGGATGGTTGGTGGGAGGGTCCCTGCTTGAGCTGCTGTGCCGACTGGTCACAGGGATCTGCTCCAGGCCTTCACTGATCCTTGCATGGACACCACCCGCCAAGGGGTTAAGGGTTGGAGGGAAGGGCCGCCCAGTGCTCTCAATATGGGCTGCACACTCGGGCACTAGTCATTCCTTCCCTTTGTATATCCCTCCTCATTTTTTTGTTTGTATTTGAACAAAGAGACCACAGTACACTCACCCAACAAAGTTCCTCTGCAAGTAAATAGGTGAGGCCAACAACACAGGTGCGGCAGATGGTTGCCTAGCATTTCTGATGTCCTGCAGTTCCACGCTGCACGCGTTTGATTTAAAATTACTTTTGTTGGTGTCAGCCTTTAAAAAGTAGGGAGAATTTGGGCCCCACAGTGGTGAAATGCAAGTGACTGACTCCTGATTTTAAGACTGTATCAATGGCATGAACTAATTCCCTGTTAAAAAATCAGCCAGTTCTGTCTGAGATAGTTGTGTGTTCCTCCTACCTGCAGAGGGCGTTATATTTCTGAATCCTGAAAGTCCCATGTGCTTATGCCCTTGCTCAGGAGACCAGTGGGCAATGTTTAGCGTTAATGATGTTTGGTGAACGTTAATAATAAAAAGCGCATCGTGAGCTCTGAATGGAGAGCTTTGGGCTGATAGGTCTCTCCTTGGAAGTTGCGCGACCAAGGCAAACCCTAACTGGCACCAGGAGCCCCCTTGTGAGGACAGAGTATCCCTTAGGGCCAGGTTTGAAAAAAAATAGCAGTAAGAACATTGACTCCATTTGGCATTGAAACTTCAGGCATTGGTATGAAAAACCTTTTTTTTTTTTTTTTTTTGTACTTAAACTTTTAGCTTTTAAGTATCATAAAACACCTAAAAGTTTAACGGTAGAGAGCCAGTATGTTTGATTTATGCCAAGTCATTGCATATCCAAGCGTTAAGTACAGCTTTTTTGGTCCAGGCTTGACTTGTTTGTAAATTCTAGATTTGGAGCCTTTTAGCAGAATGGAGTTTACCTAGTAGTAAATAAAGGTTTCTTTTCAAAAATTTAAAATCTATTGGGGATTTATTAATTTAGAAGCAGTATACAGTGCTCTCTCTTTTTGAAAATGTATTGCGTCTTTTTTTTTTTTTTTGAAGTTTACCATTCTGATAAGGCATCCTTGGTATTTCTTCCAACACAGATGAAGAGAAATTGGCACAGAATTGAATAATACTTTTGTGTATAAATAACAAAATCAGATGTTCTTATATGTTTGTTTGATTAAGCACTGTAGTAACAAAGAATAGTCACCCAGTTACATATAGAGGTACAGAAAAACTGCATTCTGCACTTTAGATTTGCTTTAATTTGAAAGTGGTTGCCTTTCTTCTCTTCTTTCTGTGAATCTTAATGTGCTCTGTCAGGTGAAAAAGTAGGCATTTTTGTTCATTTGTTTGCTTTGGGTCCAACACAGGTATACTTCTGATTCCTGCCTCAGATAATCTTCAGCTGACAAACCAGGAGCAAAGAACATCAGCTATTGTGGTGAGTGCCACGAATGTTAATGTTAAGACTTACCCCAGACTTTAATTTTCAATAATTATGTCAGATTTAAAATTTCAAAACAAGCTCTTTGAGAAGTCCAGTTGACCCTTGAACAATGCAGGGGTTAGGGACACTAACCTCTCAAACAGTTGAAAACCTGCTCATAACTTATGACCCTCCCAACACTAAACTACTAATAGATTGCCGTTGAGCAGAAACCTTACTGATAACATAAATGATTAACACGTATGTGATATGTACTGTATACTGTATTCGTATCATAAAGTAAACTAGAGAGAAGAAAATGTTAAGAAAATCGTAATGAAGAAAAAAGACATTTACAGCATTGTATTACATTTATCCATACTGTAAGTTTACATCATCTGTTTACAAGAAAACCGGTGTGGACCCTTGCTGTTCAATTCTGTGTTGTCAAGGGTCAAATGTATAGCGATCATTTCCTTATTCAACAAATGCAAGTTGTGCGCCTACAGGTGCTAGCACCAAGTCACCAAAGTGCTTAGCCTTATGGGCAATTCCTTGGGGTTTTGTAGGTTAGAGAACAATACAAACACTTGGCAAAAAATTCAGTTTGTTTATGATTAAACTAACCCAGAGTCTTGTCACCTATTTTCATTTGAAACTAAGTTCTTCTATTATTAGACTAAAACTGTTCACAATTGCCTCTTTGCCTGATTAGACAAGTCGTCTGTCCTCAGCCTTCACCCCCTGTTGTCTCTGAAATCTTTAGTAGGGTTGGCCAATCCCTTGTCCTGGAGATTCTCCTTTACTGAGTGTGTTATAGGAGACCTCCTCCATGCACAATGTATCAAGCCAGGAGCCACGCTTTACTGCTAGGTGTGCAGAAATGCTTTTGTAGAGAGGTGATCTGTGGAAATCAGGGCTCACGGTAAGGGACAGGAAGGTGTGGGGTGGAGGTAAGGTGTTCAGGCCTGAACCAATGACACCAAGCAAGCTAAGGTTACCAGATTTAGCTACTAAAAATACTGGGATGACTGGTTAACTTTAGATTATAGGTAAATTATGGTATCTTTTTTAGTATAAATTCTTAATCTAAGAATTTATTTGTTGGCAATATTTGGGACATAATTTTAATAGATTTGGCATATACTTATATTAATCCATTATTCACTGTTCACTTGAAATTCTGGTTTATCTGGGTGTCTGTATTTGATGTGGCAAATCTTTGCCAAGCTGCTATTCTGTTTTGGCTCCATGTTTGGCTCCTGGCACACCCTGGAAGGGGAGAGCATGGGTCCTGCAGGAGAAATGCAGAATCACACACCATTCTTGGCTTCAGAGAAGTGATCTGCTTTTGGATTCTTTTTAAAAATTGCTCTTTTCTCTTTACTAGAGTGATACTTCCTCCTGCAGCTCCCAGAATGTGATTGTTCTGCACAGTTCTCCTGACAGCTTCCTTCTCTCCCAGGGCTCACTTGTCAGCACTTAAACTCAGCACAGACCCTGTCTAGAGTCTTTTCAGAGACTCATATACCTGGCTTCTTGCCAGGTATCTCAAGTGTTCTGCTGGGCACAGGACGTTTGGCACTGTGTTTTGATCTGAGAACATTTTGACTCTGTGAATTGAAATACTTTATCTAAAGTATCTCAGGTGAATTTTTGATGAAAATCTTTGATCAACCTCAGTTTGTCATTGTTTTTAGAACAAACTAGTTAGATCTTGTGTTTTTATGAATTTGTTTTCATCAGTGTAAATTATTTTCCATTTCAATTTTTAAGAAAGGTTTTCTGCCATTACTAACCCTTTATTCACAGCAAATTTTCCTGGATTTTGGCTTCTGCCACTGTTTCTTTTGTGTTCCTTTTTTGAAGTCCAGTCTCCCTAGATCTGATTTTGTAGATTTAAAATTTTAGCATAGTGGGTTGTCCTTTGTCAGGTGTGTGTTTGTTGGCGAGCTGGTATGATTGGCTAGCTAGCTAGCTAGCATGCACCAGCACTCACATGCTTCTGATACAAACCAGAACACAGATATAAACCAGAGCAGAGAACAAAAGGTAGAGTGTAATGGCAGGGCTCCTGTGTCTTACTTAGATCTCAGCCTCTCTTCGAACTCAGTACCTCTAAACCTGAACTTAGGATTTCTCTGACCAAATTCATCTTTCTTGATATTACTTCTCTGTGGATCTTCAGTCTTCCTGACATTCAGACTTGAGGTTTGGCATTTCCTTTGACTCATTTCTCGCTCTAGCCTCTAGTCTTAAGTAATTTATTGCACCCTGTCTATCCTCCTTCCCCACCTTCACATCCATCTTCTTTCCATTCTAGTCCCACTCTCCTCTTGCAGTCACCTCCTTAGGGGTTTCTTTCAGCTTCCCAATCCTAGGGTCTTTCTGAAATCCTCCAGCAGAGTCTTCCTGTGTGGTTTAGCCTATGTCTTTTCTCCCCGGTTAAATTAAAAGCCTCTCCTGAGGCAGGGACCATGTAACTGTGTCTGTCATCTGAGTTCCTGACAGAGTGTGTGAGCAGGGGGCATCCTTAGTAAGTGACCCCTGGATGAAGGATCCCGGCTCTGCTGCTGAGATAGGAGTGCGGGTAGGAGCTGGCAGGTTGGGCTTCTCTGGATGTCTCTGGGTGTGGCTGTGACACCCACATTAGACCAGGTGGTTCAGCCGTGACTCCCGCCCCCAACTGCCTTTGGTGCCTGTGTCATGCACCCCACAGGTGGCCTTACCTCTGGGAATGAGTGCCCCCCCAACTGCTGACCATCTGGCATCCTTCCCCATGACATTTTACTTTGACCTTTCCTTTGAAGAAGGGTTTTGAAGCAACATTGTACATGTAAAGGTCAACAAAGAAGAGTGGATGATACCTAAGTTAAAAGGCAGGAAGTGAGGCTGCTTATTATAACCATGTTGGAGGGGGCGAGCTGAAAAAGAGTGCCCTTGAAATTATTCTTTAATCATTTGCCTTTAGAGATGTAAAGTGGGACATGGAAAACAAACATTTCTATTCAATGTATACACAGTTTGGTAAAACAAATAACTGGGCTTTGTGAGAGTCCAGACGTCCTGGAAGGAGGAAGGCATCCTCTCAACTGGGCATTGTGTTTCCGCCCAAGTTCACAGTGGAAGAAGTCGGAGCGGCCACCGCTGCACAGGTGAAACAGAAGCATTGCGCTTGCTCCATGAAGGTAAAACCTCCAGGTTTGGCCCAAGAGCCAAACCAGATGTACAGGCTGCTGGTGGAGTGGTGGTGTCCTTCCAGGAGGTCACCTGCAGCTCAAGCATGTGACCTGCTCTCTTTAAAGGACACTTTGCTGAGATCCAGAAGGGCCGAAGTCACCGCCAGCTGCCAACACTCACACATACTGCAGAGGACTTTAGGTGTAACTCTGTAGGAACTGGAAATTTAATAATTTGAAATATCAGTGGTTTAGAATGCAGTCATTATTCTACTGTTTATATATGTGCATATATATAACATTATATATTAGTTATCTCTTTTATAAGTTTTAAGTCAATTTTAATATTTCTGGGCTGCAGCCTTCAAATCTGTCTTGTTTCTCCATTCTTTGGTCCACACAGTAGGGAATAGGCAGAGATGGGTGGGGAGGAGAAGAGGAGGTGTTATCCCAGCTTTTAGATTAAGCATGAAGCAGGGTTGGGTGGCTTGTCCGAGACCACATCTCCAGAGCCAGACAGGCCTTTTCTGAGTCTTCATCCTATCAGTAAGCAAGTGTTAAATGGGACATAGGAAAAGTTTTTTCTATTCAATATGTACTTAGTTCAATAAAATCAGTAATGCACCTTGATAAGTATTAACAAACTTTCCCCCCCAGGTGCACAGCAGGCCTGACCTTCTCTTCCATCCAAGTTCAAGGCAGAGGAGGCTCAGAAGAGTGACCGCTGCACTCAGAGCCATTTCATCTTTTGCGAGAGTGTCATGAACACACCTGCTAGGGAGTCACACTCAGGCTGGAGCTCCTAACTCTCTTCATCTTGTTGGTTAATCTAGGTAGTGCCATTGTGTGAATGAGCTGTGAGACAGCTTCCTGTTAGGTCACAAAGCCATCTGTCCCGCTTCTGACCTTTCTTCCCCCCTTAGCCTTATTTTGTGCCGTGTGACTGCGATGGCTGTGGACAGGCTAAATGGCAGCCTGACCTGTGTCAGCCATCACGGTAGGTCCAGGAGGACCTGACTGAGTGAACACGACAGCCGCTCTGCTCCCGCAAGGCCCACTGCAAGTCAGTGCTCATTTTCAAGATGAGGATTGATTGTTCAGCTCCTGTGCACGTGAAGTGCAGTGCGCAGTGTCTGGGACACGCTGGCTTTTCAGATTTTATTAAATTGAAGATTTAAAAAAGTCTTTATAATGCAATATGATATTATAATGAATCACTAGAGTTTCTCTGGGCATTTCAGATACTCAGGTAAGTCTAGTGTAGTTCAGGAGCCATTCATTTCAGAGGGAGGAGGATGACTCTCTCAGGGGTGAAGGCCCTGTCTGCTCGGGGTTATAGTGGAGGCTTTGTGCTCCGAGGGGCCTGACAACCTACATTCCCTAGTTGGCATCAGTGGCTGCAAACATCCAAGCCCACTGCTCCTAAGGCTGTGGCCACCAGGCCCCTGCTGGGGGCAGATGGCACTAGCAAACTGGGTAACCTTAGGAGAGTTTCAAAAAGTAGCTGTTCACAGAGGCAGGGCCAGGGGCAGTGTGTAGGCAGCGTGGAGTGGTCCAATTGTGGTAGTACGTGGGGTGGGAGAGGGGACCCCCACAGCAGCCCTAGGAGGCAGGGCAAGATTTGGTGACCATAGCTGACTGTGGCGGTGATGAACTTTTCAGAGGTGTCCCTTCCTCCCCTGTGGCTCTCAGGGAGCCCGGATGTACACAGTGAGGCCTCCTGGTGGGCAGTGGAGAGGGTAGAGTGGCGCTGGAGAACAGAGGATGAGCTAGGAGGCCCTTGCAGCTCCATGTTTTGGTTTGCCAGACAGGACTCTGTTCTCAAAATGCTGTAGA